TTTTTTTTTTTTTTGTAATTCAAATATTTTTTTTTCTTTTTCCACATGTAGTAGTTCTGTTAGATCTTATGAAAACAGCTATATAAGTGAATAAATTGAGTATATTATTTCGGTAGCGTAACGTTGAGCATGAATGTCAGCAATTTTTTTTTGTTCTTGTAGATTAAGTGGACCATTTTCATGGTTACGAGTTACAGAGTGTGAGGAAAAAATTTTTGTTGATTTGAAGAGTTCAAAAGTTGACGTAAAAACAGCGACTGCAAATAGTTTTAGTTTAGGGAAGGATTGTAAGTAATCTAAGAATTTTTTTTGTCAAGGAGGTTTGTGATGCAATATTTTATTGCCGAAGATGTTCAGTATCAAGCTGGTAAATTTTGTCGGCCAGTTGCTGCTGACTTGCTACTAGCTACCATCTAATTGGCAAAGCATTTAATTAAGAGTGACGGATTGAGGTCGTCAGTTATGCGTCCAGTCACGGATGGCGATTGTGTTTGCTGAAAAGTTTGCGTTTTTTTTCCCCCTTTTTAGTCACAGAAAAGTCTGCATATTGATCGGCATCAAAAAATTGTATTTATCTACCAAGAGAGAAGTAGAAGACTGCAGGCCGCAGAAAAGACGTAACGACCCTAGCAGGACTCGAACCTGCAATCTTCGGATCCGAAGTCCGACGCCTTATCCATTGGGCCATAGGGCCAACCATCTGTATTATACGTTATTTCGTTAAGTTCCGGAATGCCTTTTTTTTTTTTTTTTTTTTGAAAATAACACTTTGAATTTTACTTATGTTGTGATTGCAAAAATTTCATCGTTACTGTCGGACTTTTGGATTTCAATTGACAGTTTATTGACTTTCCTTTTTGGCACTGACATGACTTCTAAATTATGCAATTGAGTTTTGCGTGTTAAGCTTCAAAAACTACGCAAATTGAACTCATTAACTGGCTGAGTGTTAATGGATGTCTTGATACTTTTTTTTTATATCTTTTCGCTTTTTAACAAGTAGTTTTCAGAGCAAACAGAGTTATAGATATTGCTGTCAACAAGTATTTTGATTTTAGGAAGCTCTTGTAAAACTGTAAACGAAACTTATGTATAACTCATTAAATATTTGCATAAGTCGGGTATATGTGACAAATGGTTATCCAAGTGAAAAAATGGGCAGTTTCGTTAAGTGTTTAAAATATTTTTATATATTTATTCATTTTTTCATCGTTTTATACATATATACTGTTCCGTTTTTTTTTCAACTTTTATATTGAAGTACGAACAGTGGGAGGGAAAGAACAATGAGAACTTTCATGAAACAAAATCAGTCAACAAATAAAAAAAAATATTGATATGGATATCACAAATTATTCATTAGACCACCGCAAAAATTGACCATTTCTGAACAGCACTGTGTACAGCAATCTTTGACGTCTTCCTTTTTTTTTTGTGCTAAAAAATCAACTGTACAATTTTTTTTAAGATATTGATTTACTGTTGTCTTAATAAGATACTCTTCCAATGATGAGGACGATGACCAACAGAAAACTTGGATAATCAACTGAATGTTGTTGATATTGCTGTCAATGAGATAAAGAATAAAGAGGGTTTTATAGAGCAAAAATTGGTATACTTTAGAGCAACTGGACCCATCTTGTTCTGATGGTTCTCAAGAAAGGAAGGGATAAAACAATGACTATTCCGATTGACTTTATTTTTTAGCAATTTTTTTGTTGTCTGCCAACTATACATATGGAAAGGATAATGAGACTGATATTTTAGGAAGCAAGAAAAACCCCGGCAATGGCACTAATCTTATGGATATAATTGATCATTGGTGCTCGTAACAACAAAAAATTGTTGGTATCCAAATTTTTGCTCAAAAAAATTTTTTGCCAAAAAGTAGTCTAATAAATTTTTTCAACCATTTACATTCTTATATTATTTTAGATAGGCACTTTACTATTCAGAAGTTAACAAATTTTTCTCGCTTTTTATTACAAATAAAATCGTCGTATTTTTGTGGGGAGGAAAAGAAAACAGTTTTATTTCTGTAACCGATTGACGATTGAATTAGAATCCATACAGCAGCTAATATCTTCTTTTTATTCTCATAGGCAGCCAGAGGAAAAATGAACAGTGATGTTAATATAAGTTGTAGTCGGCAGAAAAAAAACATCTTAAAGACAGAAAAAAAAAAAGAAAAGATAGATTTGTCTGGAAAGTTGACAGCATTTTAACTATGATTAATCTCTAATCCCTCCAAAAAAAAAAAATCATAACTTTTCTTTTGTTTTTTCTTTTCTATGCTTACTGTTATCTCATTTTTTTCACCGAACATTAAATCTATTAAAAGTCATTTCAATTACCGTTTTTTTTTTTGAAACGTTATTCTGGAAGACAGTCTAATGGTGAAAAAAAAAAAGTTGCTAGAGACGGCTTATTGTTTTTTCCCGTCCATTTTTTTCTGCTCATATTTGTTTCCGCAAAAAAAATAAAAACTAAAAGTAAGAAAAAAGAATTTATTTTTTTTTTGCACATTTAATTGAAAAATTTATGATAATCATCAATCTAAGATAAATTTTTTGATATGACAGAACTTTTTTTTGTTTGCCCAAAAGAAATGGAAGATAGAAGAGGAAGAATGGAAAGATTTTTAAGCACTTTAAATATGACACTTTTTTTTGCTTCTACAAATTTTAGAAAGAAATAGAGTACCATTTTTAAGAAAAAAAAGTTGTTTAAAATTATACAAGTGATATAATAAGAAGATGTAATTTAATGGTGAGAGAGTGAGGTGAAAGAATAGACAGCAATTATGAGCAAAAAATAAAAGAATCATCATCATCATCATCATTGTCATCAGATTACCGATTATCTTAAATTATCCTCTGTATCACACACTGCAGAAGACTAGAAACTGTTTGGTAAATTTTTAAAACTAGCAAGAAAAAATTCCTCGAAAAAATAAAAATTATTTAAACATTTGGGGAAAACGAATAAAAAATAAGTTTAATTTTTTTTACTTTTAATATTTCCGATAGAAGACGAACTAACAACCAGGCTAGAAGCTAGGGAAGACTGTGAAGCGTGTACCGGTTGTGAGGTGATTACTCGTTGAAGTGGCAAATTTGTAGCTCGAGCAGGGTCTAATAACTGTAACATTAGACAAAGGTACAATAATTTGTTGCCTAATCCATTAGTCAATCCATTTATCAATTTTTTAACTGAAGTTTTTAGTAAGTAATTTTTGAAGAAAAATGAAATCAAAACAATTATAAATAATGCATACAGTTTCGTCTGATTTACTTCGACGTGTTGTTTCCAGTTTTTTCTTATTCAAGTCTCCGCTGGACACATTATGTGGCATTGATGTTAACGGTATCTGTTCTAAAATTTCTGTTTTTATAATTTTCTTTCCAAAACAAAACTTAAAAACCTTCTTGTCAGCAACATCTTTTTCTTCCCTTCTTTTTGACTTCTAAATTTTTAAGCATAATTTAAGCAGCTTTCAAGACTATCACAAAATAGGATTGTACAAATAAATGGTGCTGCTGTTAGCTGATTATATAAACAAATAAGCCAACAATCTGTACTGTGCATTTACCGTTTCCTTTTAGTGGTTTACAGCATTTACACTTTTCCTTATTCATCAAAATACCGATACCGTTGTCATCTTCGATGATCGTGAATATGTGACCCATTCGTAAGCCTCGCAAAAATAACCGAAAAAATATTTTTTAAGGTTTTCAGTTATGTCTAACAACATTCCTTCAATACTCTCGCTTTTTGCGTCAGTTAAATTGAAGCCAGTAATAGTCTTAAAGCTTGCATTTTTTCCTCGCTTTTAAACTTCTAATAAAGTTTACATTAGTTTCCTTCCAACATCAACTAATCCTTAATCTGAGTCACAAATACCTCGTTTTAGAAAACTTTTTACAACTGATTAACATTGGCGCTTAACCTTTTAACTTATACGGTTTTTTCCCTATACAAAAAAAATATTTTAGCTTGTATGGGACTGCATTGAAATAGTTGGTAAATTAACATCAAAGAAGAAAAAAACAATAACTGTTTACAACAAACAGAAAACCAGCTTTTGTCTCAACCCCTTTATAGAACAGTTTTTGCTGTAGAT